TTCAAATTAATGTTTGTGATGAAATCCACGTCGTTTTATGATGTAGTGTGTAATTTTATGATTTGGATTTCAATTTACTAAATAATCTTATTAATCAATAATTAATATATATATATACATAAATATGTAAATTTTAGCAAGCATAATGCATTAAAATGTAATTTGTAGAGATTATATCATAAACTAATTAAATTATAAAAGTATATGCTTAGAATATTCTTTTAGAGGGGAATTATAGAGGGAATGAGTTGGAGTTGCTGACACTGTTAAAACTGTATAACTAGTTGGATTTTATTGTAAAAACGGTAAGTATAGAGATTGTAGTTGGAGATGCTCTAAATACTTGAGAAGATCAGTTCAAAATAATTATTTAGGCAAAATTGCATTTACTGCCCTGTAACTTCGGGCCTGTTGCAAAACTGGACAGCTTCTTTTGGGTTTGGCATAAATGCCCTGAAACTTGTTAAAATGTGGAACCCGTGCCCAATTTACCTGCAGCTAACCTAAACTAGCCGGTAACTGCTGACTCAATCCGGTTTAGCCGACATGGATCCAACGTGGACGCCCGCGTGTCTGTAACCTAAGTACAATCGACAAAAGCATCGATTAAAACCCAAATTCAGCCCCCAAATCAAAAAAACGCACCTCAAAAACCTAATTTCCAGAACCCTAATTCTTTTCCTTCTTCAATCGATCAAAATGTCAGAGATTACTGGAAATGATGATTGTGTTTGCGGGCATAGAGTCGTGAGTCGAACTTCATGGAAGTATCCTAACTGTGGAAGAAGATTTTTCTCTTGTCGTTATTGGAATGTAAGTTCGAATTTTTTCCCCAATTGTTCCAACTTTTCTCAATTTTGCTATGCAAGATATTTTAATTTTCTGGCTTTCGTAGGGAGGAGGATGTAACTATTTTGATTGGGCTGAGCCACCTATGTGTCATCGGTCTCAACAAATTATACCAGGGTTACTTAACAGATTGAACGAGAAAGGAAATGAAACCAAAATGATGCAACTGGAAATCGAGAAGATGCAAGTTGAAATTACTAAGCTTGGTAATTTGATCGAAGAAACCAAGATTCTGAAAGCCCAAGTCAACAATTTGAAAAAAGAAAAGAAGAGATCAAGAGTGTATTGTGTATTGTTGTTTGTAATTGTTATTTTCAGTTTGTTTTTTTGTACTGGGGATAGAATGCCCCAAGGGACATGCATGAATATGTTGGTTTGATGTGTAATGCTAGGGTGTAATGGCTGTAGTGGTACCTATTTTAGGTTGTAATGGCTGTGATGGTACTTATTTTGGGGTGATGTTTTCCTTTGGATATCTTAAGTTATTGTAAGAGATGTTGAACTAATGTATTCATGTGTTTGAAGATTAGTGGAATGTTAAGGTTTTGCACTTCATTTAAGTTATGTCTTGTTGTTGTTTATGGAATTCTGCTTGGGTTTTGCACTTCATTTAAGGCATTCTGTCTTGTTGTTTATGGAATTCTGCTTGGGTTCTGCTTGGGTACATGCCAACAAAAGAGTTTTCAAAACCAACCATTACCATAACCAACAATTACCATTATGTACTTAAGTATACATATCAAGGTTCTGCCAACAAAAGACCACAATTACCATTCATTGCCAACAAAATCCAAACCACTGTCAATACAAAACCAACAAAATCCAACCATTGTCAATACAAAACCAACCAAAACAACAATCCAAACCAAACACCAACAAGATCTTCCATTAAGTTCTCAAAACAACAACCTGTTATTGCCAACCACCTATTTCCAACAAAATCTAATATCCAAACATCAACATAAAACTACACAGGATCATTTTTTTCCCTTGTCTTTCCGGTTGAGTTCCATAAATTTCTTGCCCTTGTCAACCACTATTGAAGCTGCAGAAACTGATGTTAGGCTACTTCTTGCAGAGAATAAGGGTCTTTCTCCAGTGAAAGTTGCAGGCCCTCTGATATTAGGTCCTTGTGTAGCTCTTGATGGTTGTGACATGTTGGTGCCTCTTAGTTGATCATACATTGATGGGCCTGGCACATATGACTGTGTGGTTTGCAACCGTGTAACACCTACCTGCTGAAACAATAAATAAATTTTCAACTTATAAAAATTTTATGATTATCTCCAACTAAAACAATATTAAAGACATAACACTTACATGTGGCTGTGTAGTTTGCATAAACTGAGTCTGGGATTGTTGAGTGGGGATTTCTGGTGTGAAAACTGTTGGGTTCAAGGAGCTTGCTTGTTGGTTGAGGGAGTTGGTAACACCTGCCTGCTGAAACAACAAATCAAGTTATTAAAATTTTATGATTATTTCCAACTAAAACAGTATTAAAGACATAACACTTACATGTTGCTGTGTAGTTTGCATAAACTGAGTCTGAGATTGTTGAGTGGGGATTTCTTGTGTGAAAATTGTTGGGTTCAAGGAGCTTGCTTGTTGGTTGAGGGAGTTGGTAATACCTGCCTGCTGAAATAACAAACCAATTATCAAGTTATTAAAATTTTATGATTATTTTCAACTAAAAAAATATTAAAGATATACACTTACAGCCATGGAGGTCTTTTTTCCACATGTAGCTGAAGTGCCACATTTCATGCAATTGATTGATGTTTGTTGCCTCTTCATTCTGGTA